AGCTATACGAAAAAAAAAACCCTCGCACGAAGTCATTCTTGCAGAGAAAAAATAAGGTGAAGCCACTAGTGAAAAATTTGAGTATCAAGCTGAGAAGAATTTTGAATTAATATATTACATTTTATTACAAATGAACTTGTTATAGCAACAAGAAAAAAAGACAGAGGACATGCAACTGATGCAAAATGATGTTTTTGATTTGAATTAATTGATAAAATTTAAGTATTGCTAAACTTTATTCTTTTGATGTTTTTGAACTTGGTTGAAGGAGTTGTTAAACTCTTTTTGTATTTTTAGACTTATGTCTTATATAATTATGTGATTTTATCTTTTAAATATGAAATTATAATTATGTTATTTTATCTTTTAAATATGAAATTGTTTATTGAATTTTGAGTAGTGATTTATGTGATATTATTATTATTATTATTATTATTATTATTATTATTTTATATCTTGATCTTAAGTAATAAAATTTTTATGTTTTGTGTCGTTTCCATGATTTACATTTCTACCTTCACATTCTGTTACTACATAAAAACTCGATTTTAACAATATTAATTATGAGATCCTTGCACTGAGAGTGCAATCTCGTCCATCCAATTTTCCCATTTTTATTACACTCTCAAATTTTAAACATTCTCACTTCAACTTTTACTCTAGCGCAAATTCTTTAGCAATTTTCATGTTCGAGGTTAGTATTATATCTTTTTTTCTTAATTATTTTGATCAGTAATTAAGGATTGGAGATTAGGGATTAGTTATTAGTAGAAGTGTTAAAAGAGCCCGGGCCTCTGGCCCGACTAGTATAGGTTTAATTTGCTCTATATGTTTTGATTGTTGGATCCAGACTTAAATTTATATAAAATTTTATTTAATAAAAAGTCATTAGTCTCCAATTTTATAGCCCGGCCTTAAAGCCCGACAAGTTGGCTCACCAATTTTTTTTTTTTTATACTAACCAATTTTTTTTTTCTTTTTTGGTAAATTATACTAACCAAATTTTATCTTCCATCATCTCCGTCATTTTAACCTAATTCTTAATGATTTTATTCTATATTATGTTGTTGAGATATATATTGAATTTATGAATTTTTATGCAATTATTAGTGTTGTTGATTGTATATTCTGTTTGGATAAATTTTGTTGTCTTATTTTCTTTTAACAGGCAAGTCAGACTTTTATTTTTTTGTAAATAAGTCAGGTCACAAGTCGATAATTATATTCATAACAGGCTATAGACAAGACCAGTCTGATATATTTAAACACAGATTTAGCTTTTCAAGATCAAAGCTAAGCCCGGCTCAACCCGTTGACACCCCTAGTTATTAGTGATGAGTAATTAGAGATGAATTAATATTCTATTATTATTTTGCAATTGTTTCTTAGTAATTTATAAGTTATAAAATGAATTTTAATTATTAAATAAATGTTAATTATTAGTTAATTTTCAGTAATTAGTAAAAATTAATGAATAATGAATGATTGGTGAAAACATATTAGGGATTAAATTATTCATTAGGGATTAATGATTAAATTAATCACTAGAAATTAGTATACTGATCCAGAGGTTGTTTGGAATGAATGAAGCTCCTTCTTGGCTGTTTAAACAACCTTCGAAGGGAATTTGAATTTAGGGAAATACAAGTCTCATGTTGCATGAGACTTGATATCTCATGCCATAGACTCAAAATATGTGGGACTTACTTTTTTTAAAAAAAGTAAAAAAATAAATAAAAGCTAGCACGACTTTTGATGTATGAGTAGGAGGGGTATGTTATCTCATGTAACATGAGAAAAACATACCCCTTGAATTTATGATCAATATATTATCCACCATCGAATGAAGATGCTTTTTCAGGGAAATATTTGATACCATAACTATAAAAAATTGTTTGAACAATAACAAAGAAATTAATGTTAATTTAAAAATTAAATTTTATTTTATAATACTAACCTACATTTTATATAATTAAATTTAAAATCATTATGATCCCTAATAATTAATAACTTCTTGATCACTAATTTCTAATTACTATATTCTTAATTAAAATAATTGAAAAAAATAGAATTCTAATTTTGAATAGAAAGAATTATAAAGAATTTGGACTGAAAATCGGAGTTGGAATGAGAAAGAGATAAATTGAACTGAAAAAGTAAAAATTTAAAAGTGAAGTGAGAATTTTTTTTTAGTGTTAACCCAACCTTAGTTATTTTTTTGAGGCAATTTAGCTCCTCTTGGTATTTTCACAAGCTTTAATTCTTTAACTTGGCTACATGATTAATCTGAAGTACAGGATGAGTAAAAAATAAAGATATTTAAACATCTTCTAAATAATGAAATGTGAGTATCGAATGAGTTACTATTATTTGATAATGAAATGTGAATTAAAAAAATGAGAAAAATATTCAATCGTATAATATATGTGAGAATAACAAAAGACTTTTTTCTCTCATATAATCTAAGAATAACAAAGCCCTTAAAAAATTTGGTGGACAGAATTACATCACATGACAACCTACAAATTCAATTATATTTCTGATGGAACTAAAGTGATGTTTATTGGTTGAAAAAACACAAATCGGGTCAAGTAGGATCTTTAAAATGTACATTTTACAACTACGCTTTGATAAGAAAATTGATGGCGGGAGGGCCTTAGTCTTAGACGGTGACCCTGTGACAGTGAGCTGGCACGCAGCTGTATGCAGTAGCAGTTTTATTACTCACTCACTGGTGTTTTAGCTTTGTCCTAGACCCTAGTACCTTACCGTAGGGTAGGGTGGCCCAAACTTGAATCTGTAACAATAACGCTCCAGTAGCCATTTTATTGCTCTCCGTACTCCTTAAGGTCAACTCTTCCAGTGACCCTTTTAAAAATGTACATATCTTGGTGGGGAAAAAAATGTACATATATGAGGTAATTTTTTTTTTATAAATTATTTTATGTATTAAAATAATATATTTCAGTACACAATATATTATCTTTGATATATAATGTAAATTATAAAAAAAATATATAAATATAATCCTTCTCATATTTGCTTATTCATTTTTGAAATAAACTTATAAGCCTCGTCCTTTATTTATGGTCATTTTTTTATTATCTGATAAAAAATGTTTATCAAGTATTTATTAGTAAATAATTTTGTAATAATATTTAAATTTTTAACAAATATAAGTGGCTACTGATATAAAATGTCTTACAACTCATTTTGATACCAAATCAAAAAATAAAATAAAATAAAATAAAAATCATACACCAAACTATTGCCTGCATCTGATACCTAAAAATTAAAAATATGATATGTTCCATATACAAGATAAGATTACTGTAATTTGTGGTTGTCAATAAATGAGGAATAATCATTATAAATTGAAATTTGAGTCCAATAATTTGACAGGCCTGGGTGGTCTCTTTCTCTGTTACCTGGTTTTTAAAAACTAGTATGATCAAGTGTTCAAGTTTTGGGAATGAGAAAAACTAGTAGTATGATCACTTTTCTGATTAAACGGGGTCTAAACACTAACAAAAACTGTCATAGCATTAAAAATGAGTTCTATTTTTCTTATGTTATCGGAGATAAGTATCTCTTATTATAGACATATAATGTGATAGAGCACATCACCCATTAATATAAAAAATAAATAAAAAATAATGATACAACTTTTTATGTAAAAGTAACATGAGATAGCTATCTCATGTAAAAGATCACAATAATTTTCCATAAAAAAATATGCAATCTTTTATTTGGTTATGGAGTGAACCTAATCGAATAAACTAACAAATATGCAACATGATCAAATCATGTCGTTGTATTACATTAAAAAAAATATCAAGTTTTTGAAAAAATCATTTAAATTTTTATGTCCTTTCAAATACTTTTTTTAAGTTTCTGTTAAACTTATTTTTACCTTCAATTTAGTAAGCTATCTTTAATTTGGTTTTTAATAGGACTTCTATTAATCTCAGTGGCGCAGCCACTTGATGTTTAGCTGGTGACTTGGCACCGGTTGGTTTTCAAAAATGCTATATATTTTCTTTAAAAATTATAATATAACCTTGACATTGGTTAGGTTTTTAAAAATAATATAACACTGGTACTAACTGAATTTTATTAGCTTGAGCTTATCCTTGGTTAGATTAATCTTCTTTTTATATGGTCTAACTAGAGGCTAAATAATTTTAAATAAATGAACCTAATTGAATAACAATTGGTACTCTAATAATAAAAGATTGGAGTAAATTGGTATAAATAATACATATGTCCTCCATGTGTTTCATATGTGCATGTGAGTGTTCCAGAAGACAACTTATATGGTCCTCAAGCTGAAACCTTACCCCACCCCAAATCTGCTAGTTTCAGATTCTGTATATTGTACCTTACATAAAACATTATACAATAATTTCACAACCAGACAGACCCATGCTAATTGCCATTGATCTCATTTTTATTTTTCTTCTTATGTACATATGTCTCTAAATTTGATTTCCTTTTTGAGTTAATCATACAACCCTGAATCTACTAATACAATCACTTAACCATATAGCATCTCTCACATTGATTTAACAAGTTTTATTTTGGATGTTCCTACATGAAAAAAAAGATGTTTTATTAAATTCTTTTATTGCATCACTTTTGCTATGCATGAGGTGCTGGAATGTTTGTCCTTCCTTTGTTTTATCCTTTGATCTATTATGAACACAGTTTCACAGAAAAAAGAAAAAAGAAAAATAGTAGAAAGAAACTATTACAGCCAACAAACAACTAGTTGGTCTTTCATAACAGAAAATCACATGCATATGCATAATAGCCTGAACACCTCAACTTGTAAGCTATAAACCTCTTAATTGCATCCCCTACCCAACATATTATTTCATTTTATAGTCTCATTTTCAGTCCATTATTATTATTATTATTATTATTGCTTTTACTTCCTTTTCTTCCTTGAGAAGTGTTATTAGTAGTTAGTTGCTTGACTTGTTTTATTAGTAGTTAGAATGGCTGCAAGGACTTCATCAAGGAAGTACCAAGATGTTCTTTGTTTTGTGTTCCTTATTTTGATTTGTCTTTGTAAGGGCCAAGACTCTCCATTGTCATCAATGGAGAAGAAGGAGCAGGAAGTCATTTACTCTGTTATTGAAGGGTTGGTTGGAAAGTGGTGGAACGGTTCATATCTTTATCCAGATCCTTGTGGATGGACTCCAATACAGGTTTGAAATCGTGAACTTTCAAAGCAAAAAGATCAAACAGATAATGTTTATACTGTTGTTTGCTTTGCATTCAGTCAGAATCAGTGCAAACTTTAATGGAACAGTACTTACAGTCTTAATTCTAAACTGTTAAAACAGAAGCAGCATTGTATTCCACTCCACTGCTATGATTTCATTTCTTATCATTTTTATTCACAATGAGTCTCTAACAACTTCTGTATTTTTTGATGAAGTACAGGGAGTTTCCTGTGAGCAATATGATGATGGTTTCTGGTATGTAACTGCAGTAAACCTTGGACAAGTTTTTGACAACTCTCTAATCTGCAACCATGATGCACAATTCCCAGAACAACTATTCAATCTCAAGCACCTAAAAGTCTTCTCACTGTCTAGTTGCTTCCTTTCTCCTAACAAATATCCTGTTAAACTTCCCATTTCAAACTGGGAGAAGCTCTCAAACAGTTTGGAATCTTTGACACTTAGATCAAACCCTGGTCTTGTTGGGACTATTCCATCCACAATTGGCTGCCTTAGGAAGCTTCAATCTCTGGTACTGCTAGAAAATGGGCTAACAGGTGAACTACCATCAAGTATTGGTAATTTGGTCAAGTTGAGGCAACTAGTCCTTGCAGGAAATGATTTGGTGGGTGAGGTTCCAGTCAATTATGGAAGGTTTTCTGAGCTGTTAATATTTGATGCAAGCAGGAATAATCTATCAGGAGCATTGCCATCAACAATGAAATTTTTGAATTCACTTTTAAAGCTTGATTTGAGTAACAATATGTTAAGGGGAGAGTTGCCAAGGAAACTGGGAAGACTAAAGAATCTTACTTTACTGGATGTTAGTCATAACAAACTTAGAGGTGGGTTGGCTGGGACACTGGAAGAACTGGTTTCCTTAAAGGATTTGGTTTTGTCCAACAACCCAATAGGGGGTGATCTCTTGGGAATTAGGTGGGAAAATTTCCAAAACATAGAAACCTTGGACCTTTCTAACATAGGTTTGGGAGGGAGTGTACCAGAGTCCATGTCACAAATGAAAAAGCTTAGATTTCTGGACCTTAGTAAAAATAATATTTCTGGAAGTCTCTCTAAAAGTTTGGAAAACCTGCCATGTCTTAGAGCTCTTCACGTAAATGGAAATAATTTGACAGGAATACTTGACTTCTCAGAAAGGTTTTACAGTAAAATAGGAAGGCGTTTTGCTGCTTGGAATAATGCAAATCTCTGCTATGTTACCAAACCAACAACCCAAATGCCTTATGGGGTAAAACCTTGTGTGCAGGAAATTACTATATCTGAAGGGGTTCCAACTGTTAAGATAAATGAAGGGTATTATGAGGATTCCTTTGTAGTGGCCTCTTTGGGAAGTTCAAGCTATGTCTTTTATGAGCTTTGGTGGGTTTTCATTGTAAATGGTATTCTTAATGTTTTCCTATGGAATATGTCATTTTAGCTCATCTCTGAAAAGTCTGATACCACCACATGTATTACTACCCTAGAGAAGTAGCCACATTAATGCTTCGATTGCTATCTATTGGTAAACTATTTATTACTTCAAATACATGCATTCTGATGGCCCAAAAAATATATATATGCATTTTTCTCTAATCAGCATAGCTATACAATTTTCCCGGATCATTTGCCCCCCCTCCCCTCCACAAAATCAGCAACAGAATTTTCTTTGAACACAATATTTCTTCTTCTTTTTTTTGGGTTAAATGAACACAATATTTTTTTCTCAGTTGGAAAATTATTGCAAATTAAGAAGATGCATTTGTAAGAATCAAAGGAAAAGCAAACATGTATGTTGTAAATAGATTAACCTGCCATAACTTAATTACTAATACTGTAATTTGATAGTAACTGAAAAGGTTGTTTCTGATTTTGTTGAATAATGAAGCACACAATCGGCATGTTTTAGTCAACAAAATCATATCATAAAGATGCTCACCAGTGGTGCAACATCGGTTCATGCAATTGCAAATTATCAATTCTGGAATCTGGCTCCTAATGTCCCAAACCGCTAAGCAAAGAACAAAATGTACTAAATCAACTGGAATACGCTTAATATAACTCCTATGTCGTAACTCTTATGTGTATATTATTTAATATTAAGCATGTATTCTTCAACTTTTTCTAATCCCAAGTAGCTTTTTATTTGCTGACCCTTTTTTTATTAACTATTTGTTCAAAGTTGAACAATTCATAGATGTATAATCAAACCAAATGAACTAACTGTTTAATAGCACATGGATAATTTTAAGTGACTTATAGAATTAATTAAGAGAAAATAGAAAACCTCAAATTTCACTACTTTATCAGCTAATTTCTCTCAACAGCAAAAACAGTTAGACCAAGTCAAAGACCATTTTCTTTAGCCATTACCCTCAGCAAAAACCCACGACCTCCAAAACGTGCTCCCAAATCCTCTCCTTATTCCTCGTTAACAAACTTCATTTTCAACTTCAAGTCTCTTTTTAAGTCCAACGTAAACAACCCCATCTCTCAAAAACACACTAGAGCTCCCTAGAAATCCAAATATGGTTGCTCTCTTCAAAACATCATACCCACTTTTCCTTTGCTTCATTCTTTTCTATTTATCCCATGTATTGCTTGTAAATTGCACTGAGTTTGAAGTTGGTGATCTAGATGGTTGGGTTGTCCCCAAGTCAAAGGACAATGATGAAATGTACAATCAGTGGGCATCCCAAAACAGATTCAAAGTTAATGATACTGTTCGTAAGTACCATGCACTTCTTATATATAGAGCCATTTTTTTTTTCTTCACATTCTAATATGTAGAAAAACATGAAAGTTTTTATCTTTTTCCTAAAAAACTTATGGGGTTGTTTGTATATTTAGGTTTCATGTTCAACAAAGACTCGGTTATGGTGGTGACTGAAGAAGAGTATGGAAAATGTAGATCCTCTCGTCCAGTCTTTTTCTCTAACAACGGTGACACTGTCTTCAAGTTTGACAGACCCGGCTTGTTCTACTTCATTAGTGGGGTTAGTGGTCACTGTGACAGAGGACAGAAGATGATAATTAAGGTTTTGGATGTAGTGCCAGCAACCCCACCCCAATTAGCAAATGAGAGTGCTAAAAAATCACATTCTACAAGTGAAGTTGCTGAAATAATAACTCCAATGAGTATAACAACATCGACCCTTTTTGTTCTGTTATTCTTAGGCCTGCTTCATGCTTGATTCTTGTGTGATCAGAGTCTTAGGTTGATGAGTGTCCTACTAGGGTGTTTTGGATTTGGAGTTTTAAGTATCAGTTTGTTTGTTGTTTTGGTCATAACAAGGTTGGAAAGATTGGACTTCATTGCTTGTTAATCTTATGATGATGATATTATTTTTTTCGGTTACATGTTATTATGATATTATTTGCTTCTTCAATTGTTATTTGACTTTTCCTATGAGTAAATGCGATTTACATTTGTCATCAGATGTTCTTTCTGATTATTCATTTATTTGCTTATTGTAAATGATGTTTGTTTCTGATAATTAATGGATGATATTATGAACTAGCATTGATCCTGATTTTAATGAAAGAAACCAATATAATGATATCACGTTCCCTGATTTTGTGACCTGAAAGAGATAATAATCTTCCATTAGAAGATGTCATGTACAATCAGACAATGTGATATGTTTGGTTTTGCGGGATTATTTTGAGAAACGGCAAACGTTTTGAAAAATCTAAAATTTTGAAGTTTTTAATTTTTTTAATTCTTGATTATTTTTATGGGGAGGTCATACTTTACTTATTACCAATCTTGTTATTATTGGATCAAAATCAAATCAACGATTACAAAATTACATTAAGTGAGAGCCATTAATTTGATTTTGATCCAAGGATAACAATATTGGTCATAAGAAATGATAAGAAAAAATAATAGTAAATATAACATATCCCTATCTTTATATTTTAAACTTTCATACTTATTTCTTCATCCTCTAACAAATAATACTTTAAAATTTCATATTTATTTTGATAATTTATTCGATAAAAATTTGAATATAACTTAATCAAAATATATTATTTTAAATTATTTTCTTTAAACATATATAAACAAAAATTAATATTATCATAATCAATTTTTCTAAAAAATAAGGGAGCGGATCCTCTTATGTGCTAATTAACATGACCATGTCATGTGAAACAATCATAATCATACATGAGTGAGTTAATGGTGATAAGGGAGAAGAGAGAAAAAATATAAGAATAGGAAGTTACATAATCATCACCGTTGATTTAATTATTAATGGTTAAGATCTTCCCAGATGACATGATCATTAAATTACACATGAGACAATCTATTTTCAAAAAATAATTATGCAAACAATTGATTAGTTTTTTCGTAGCTAGTTAAAACACACCAAAACTTCAAATTTATGACTACAAGAAAAACAAAAAAAGAGAGTCAGATCTTATCTAATTAACTTTTCCTGCTTCCAATATAATTTTGCAACTCATTATATTATTGCCTTAACTTTACAACTCTTTCTTGGGAGAAAGGAAAAAGGTCATTTGAGTCCTTCATCATCTTCCAGCCTCCAGGTACAATAACCTAGCTATGTAGGTTCCGTGAATTTTCTTACAATTGATTAATAAAATCAGATTAAATAATAACTTCCTTTCCCATAGAACTATTTAAAATTGAAAAGCATGTCTCCGACAGTTTAGTGGATTGCACTTCAAATTATATTTCCATAGCCAGAATTTTCCATCTGGGCACTCATATGATCAGTGAAATACATGTATGAACAACTGATTCAGATCTTTGTAACATCTGCAAAGTTCCTGTTGTACACATTAATATGATAATAATAATAAATCGATCCGTTGAACTCCGATTAGTATTATCGGTATTGTTTTTCAAAAGCTACTTATGAAAGTTAATGATACAGCATACAATATAAAAACAATTGCAAACTGGAAATATAAGACGTGAAACCAGTAATGTAGAATAACACAGTTCTTTTAACATACATCAGCTGTCTGTGTAGTTTTTCTGGGTCAGGCACTCCATTTATATAAAAATAAATAAAATAAATAACACAGTTCAAGAATGCGTAGACACATTTCTAGTTGAATAAAAAATTCTGATCGCTTGAATAATAACTTAACTATGTTACAAAATTTCTGACTATAAAATTGGGGGACTACCAAAACTTTTTTGTGGGTGAGAAAGATATAACACCCACTGTACAAAGCCGTAGCATGTCTAGTGCTATGCTAATATCTCACAAACTGTCGCTTATCGCCAGCATTACCCTTTGCATAAGGATTGCTTTCGCTGAATCCATGTCTACTTCCATCAACTTTACGCATTTGCATTTTCTTCCTTTGCTTACTGCTGTTTATATTCACACTCACATTCGGTGGGTTTGAAAAACAGAATGAAGCAGCAACTGCCTGCTCAAGTACAGAAACTGGTATTATCATATTGTATGCTATATTTTACATGCTTTAGTGTCCAAACAATTTGAGTTTTAAGTTCTCTGATACTTATCTATCAGTAACTTATTATGTGCATGACATCATAGTAACCTATTTTGAGGTTAAAAAAGCTTGATTTTTTTGGCAACTTCCTGATAAAGCTTTAGAAAAAGGAAATGATTATTCAACTCAAGCCCCACCCCCACCCCCAAAAAAAAAAGGCTTTTCCAAACAAGCACTTACTAGGTCAATGATATTTTCATCTGCCAGTCAACCACTCAATCACAAGAGTATACACAACATTTTTCTTTCATAAAATTCCTGAATTACATAATTTACTGATTGCTTCTATTAAATTATTATGACAACAACTCTACCTTTTCCCGCAGTATGTGTTATGTGTCTTTCATTATTAAGAAAAAAAACAAGGAAAGGCTATCAATAACATCAAATTTTTCTCAAAATCAAGACAATCAGCCAATATCATAATTTTTTGGGATCTAAACCCTTTTCTAGTCTTCTTTACAGATCTACCAGTTGATCGACTTACCTGCAAGTGTCTAACATGATACAATGTACCCTCCTTTAACAAGGAATTCAAACATGAAAATCCTTCTTTAATCTATATGTTGACACTTAAATTATTTTCGTAGCATTAATTTATTCTTATCAATCAACCATTTCAAAATGGCCCCATCCTGAAGTTCTTGATCAAATTGAAAATAAGAAATCAGAATTGCCAGTAACAGACTATTTAAATTGTCAGGAATGGTATGCATAACAGCATATGCGCACACAAAGTTACCTAGATCAATTTAGATAATATTGTGAAAGCTATACCTGCAAATCAAGGCGGTGAACACTGAATATATCCTTCATGGAATGTGAATTGTATGCTAATATATAAGATCTATAAGCTTCTTTAGCCATCTTGTTCAAAAAAAAATTGTTGACAACCAAATTCTCCTGCCCAATTCAAATAGTCCTTTGTAAGATAAGCTGCAGTTGGTTACTATATTAAATAAAATTTTAATTAAAACATGAGGAAGAAGGAATGTACCAGGTGAGACTGTACATTTACCACCTTCTTTTCATCATATGCATACTCTTTCACGGGGACCTTAGCAGCCTGAAATTAAGCATAAATATAAATTTATGATTTGGGATAAGCCAAGCATAATTTTTACAAAAATGGGGTTATAGTCCTGGGGCTTGGGGGAAGTAGCAACCACTGCCTCGTGCTTATATTATATTCTAGGCATGATACTCACAAGGTTTCTTCAAGCAATCTATTTTGGAAGCCTACTTTCTCAGATATAGTAAATGCATACACTAGGAACTTCTAATAAATTCTAATTCAGAGTAAGCTAGCCTACTATCCCATTCTGTTAGATGAGAGAAACTGACCTTCAGATAACGAAGAAATTGCAATTCTTCAGGAATCAAGAAAAGCAAAGCATTTCCTTTTCCACCTTCCCCACGAGCTGTTCTACCAACCCTATGGATATATTCCTGTTAGCAGTATAAGACACATGTTATACCATACATCGACATATAATGCTGCTAAGAAAAAAGTGAAAAAGGATATTGATTGATCAATAGAAGAATGGGAAGCACCTTTGGTTCATCGGGTGGATCATACTGCACAATCCAGTCCTACAACACATGTAAGGAGAGGAAAAAAGATAAAATATTTTACATTAAATGACTTTCAATTAACAGAATAGATATCTGCATAAGTACAGTAGTTGATTCCAAATTTGTTCAATGTTTTACCACTGCTATACAAACCAAATTAAACACATAAATTTACAGAGGACAATCCCAATTTCTTGTCTTGCTTACCCCCTTTGGAAATCCAGGTCCCCTTCAAACATTAAGTCTTTCATTTGAACAACGGTACTCAATATGGCAAGCTTTGCTTTGCTGACGTGATTTTCATGTTTATTCTGATTTTTATACTGTTTTTTGTAGGAAGATTTTCTTTCATTTTCCCTTGTATTTCTTTTCAGGAGGTGTCTAAGTTACCCCCAATTTTTTTATCCTTTAATAATATTTACTCTCTCTTATACTTCTTTTATCTCTAGTAGGCTGTTGTTAGATTGACTTATTGCATACTAAATAAGTGAGGAAAAAACCTTAAAAGTCTAATACAAATGATCATATTTTTCCATTCATAAATATTAATGTAAGTTCGTAAGCAAAATGAACGTACCACAGAAGGTATGTCAAGTCCACGAGCAGCAACATCAGTACAGAGCAAGATCCCCTTTTCTGCTTTGCAGAAGTCAAAGAAGGTAGTTGTCCGGGTCTGCTGCTTTTGTTTTCCATGAATACTTGAGCAATCCAAATGAATGAGATTAAGAATGTCTGCATGGAATTTGACAGAGTTGCATGAAGAGAAAAAGACCATCACTTTTTTTGACTGATGTCTCTTCAGGAAGGAATAGAGAACAACAAATCGCTTGGCACAGGGAACAACAACATAACCCTGCAGCAATCCTTCATTTGTGACCTGCATTGATGAGGATCCACTCAGATATAATGATAATGCTGATAACAGAATTCAAAGATTATGATAAAGTGCAGAGACATCACCTTGGTTCTCCCATCATCTACATCAATATAGATAGGCGTTGTCTGAAATGACAAGCGGGCAAGATCCTCAACCTGCATTTTAAGGGGAAAATATTATTCAGTGTGAAAAACAATACGCAAGCAATATGCTTTCCTTCCCCCTATTCTTACTTTCAAATAGACCACGTATTGTCAGGTAACAAATTCTAGTAAATTGAGCAAAAAACTACACATAATAGGGGGAAAATAATAATAATTGAAAGCAGAACCGCTCTGTTATCTTCATGCAATGCATTATCAAATAACAATCTCCAGTGTATCCAAAGAAAAAAAAGATATTCATATAAAAAATATTAAAAATTGAAAGTAGAATAAGAAAAACTCTGGAATCAAGATTTTATTTCAGGGAAAAAACTTGACAAAGGATGGAAAATGAAGAACAAACCTTCTTTGTTTGCGTAGCTGAAAATAAAGCTGTTTGCCTACTCTGTTCAATGAGAAGCAGATCAATTAGCCAAGCCCACGGATATTAGTTAAAAACATACACTACATATAAACTTATATCTATGTTAATAAGCACAAATGGATATAGCAACCACACCTCAGCCTAGAAACCTTGGCCCCTACATAAAAATAAGAGATAGATGACCAAGCATATTTAGAACCTGTACAAGAGGAGTTGGTACTCAACCCGCATATAACTATCAGAAAAAATTACAATTTATTTCTTAAGGCAGAAACACCAGGGTTTCTTGGAATATTACAAGCCATAGTTATCAATATCGTACGTTACGATACGATTCACAAGCGTAACGATACGTATCGTGGGGTGTATCGGAAAGGGATTTATATCGGACGATACGATACTGTATTGTATAATACGATACATATCATGTATTATACGATACGAAAATTAAATCAAATTTTTTAATTTTTAATATATAAAAAAATAATAATAATTTGATATTAATACAAACCTTGAGAGAACCTCACCCCAAAAGCTAGCTAAAAAGGTAGGAGAGCTCAAACTCTATATAAACCCCACATTAGTCACCCATATAACCAATGTGGGACTCCAAGTCTCATACCTTGGAGTAGGATTGTAACATTCCACCACGTTCCGCAATCCCGTCGCTCAGGCGAGCTGGCTTTGCGCTAGTCTTTTACTAGCCCCGGGCGAACACTGCAATGCCGACGTCACCACCCGCGCCGCTCGATTGCAACCGGGAGACATAGTGGAAGGATCTGATACCAATTGATACGAACCTTAGAAGAACCTCACCCCAAAAGCTAGCTCAAAGGGTGAGAAAGCCCAAAGTCCATATAAACCCCACATTAGTTACCCATATAACCAATATGGGACGGACTCCAAGTCCCATACCTTAGAGTAGGATTGTAACAGATTTATGATTTAAATTAAAAAATATATATAAAAAATTATTATTAATAAGGAAAAGAAAACAAAGATTTGATTTGTGATTTAAACTCAAAAATCAATATGAAAAATAGTATTAATAAAGGAAATAATTAAATAAAATTTTTAATATATTTTTAATTATTTTTTATTATATTTCTGTATCTTATGATTCAATATAATTCATCATACACGATACGAAAAACCGGTCAAACGATACACGATACATATTACGATTCAACAACCTTGTTACAAGCTAACTGCAAGCAGCTGCTGACATTAAAAGTCAATACTCTTAGGCAGAATTCATAATATTACTTTTCCTCTATGGTAAGAAATAGATAATACTTGTAAAGTTATAATCATAGAATTCCTTTTTGTTAGGTGTTTTCCAGTTCAATAATCCAATCCACGAATGGCAAATGGGTGGACACAAAGCAATTTCAAGACAACATTAAAATTTCATAGGCTTATGCTTAACTGGAAGGGAGAGGAGAAAGAGAAAACAGAAAGAAATTCTAGATACCTTTGGAAGGATCTTAATAATCTGCTTCATTTCCTCCTCAAAGTTTGCTTCCAATATCCTGTCAGCTTCATCAATCATGAGGCACTGCCAAATCATGCAGGAATTGAGAGTTACGAGAATAGCCTGAATCTACACTTACATATGCATGCATGCATCTACTAATAATATTCCAGAAATCTAAACGAAAGACTCTTCAAGAGCCTTCGGTCCAAAATGGAAAAACAGAAAAGCTTCTAAAACCAAAAATTATTTATAATATTTCAGCACTAAATAGTGATTCTGCACTGAAAATCTGCTGGCTTTCTATCCCTTTTTGGTTTCCTGGTTTCCCCCAAAATAACAACAAACTGAGCAAGCAACAAGAACAAAGAGCAAAAGTAAGGACAAATGAATAATGTTAGAAGGTATGTAAACATAAAATGTTGGCCGAAATACATGATAAATAAACTTCCAATTAAAATCAAATGAATATTTCGTAGCCAAGCTGTCCATGAGAAAAGACCCTCATGAACATCAAACACTCAAATTGACAATATACCAGAAATGCTCAGATTACTGATGAGCATCAATCACTCAAAAAACAGAGAATAAATACTAGCATTGCTTAGGAGTATCAGTAATGAGATATGTCTATATTATAACGAATCAAAACAGAAAACCAATTGTACGAACAATCAATATTTTACCTTCAAGTTCTTATATATGAATCCCTTTGTATTTTGAAGATGATCTAGAAGACGACCAGGAGTAGCTACCAATAGATTTATCCCTTTCTTGATGCGTTCAGCTTCAACTTTTCTAGCCGAACCTCCAATAACCAATCCAAGAGTTTGTGAATGATACTTGAGAAGCTCCTTGGCAACAGCATGAGTCTAAAAGAAATGGAGAATCAACAAAAATGGAGAACCAAATAATAAAATCTGCAAACATTACAAAAAAACTAAAAATCGCAAGAGAGGAACTCCAAACAAAGAAAATGTTATTCCAACAGCATAATTTATGACCAGGCCTACAGGGTCAACATAAAAAAAAAATGTGAGCAAGTCAGCACAATTTTATACCTGCATTGCAAGCTCTCTAGTTGGGCATATGACAACAACACCAGCACCATTACGTGATGTAAATTTAACATTGTACAACAGCTCCACAGCAGGAATTAAAAAGGCAAGAGTTTTTCCAGAACCAGTCCTTGCAGCACCAAGAACATCTTTTCCAGTCAAAAGTGGTGGAATTCCTCTCGCTTGAATCTGCATTCGTTATATAGGTTCAAGTCCAATGTGTTACATAGAAAAGGTTATATTATACCATTTTTTTTACAGTAACTCTTTGTTTTGCAGAATCAACGAGCAATAACAAATTTCAGTTCAAATAAGAGGTTTACCTGAGTCATGTTGTGGAATCCCATATCCATAATTGCCTTATAAGTAGGTTCAGACAATCCCAGAGAGTCAAAAGACTCGGTACTCATAATTCCAGAACCACCGTTGTTCTTCACCTTTCTCTCTTCTTCCACCTTCTTCTCCTTTTTCTTCTTCTTCTTCTCGGATTCTCCGTCCATATTATTCTCATTTTCCTCTTCTTCTGAACGCTCCTCGGTAACAATATTCCGAGGTCTTTTTTTGTCGCGCTTCTTCTTCTTACTATTGTTGTTCTTGCTTTCATCCACAGGCGAGGTTTGAAGATCGTTTTCTGGTTCTGCCATTATTAGATTTTGCACAACCTCAACCACTACCTTCTTCTTCGCCTCTTCTCCCTCTCGTTAAACCCTAGTCTCGCAAGGTTCGTGTGCACGTGGGAATCACACGAGATTGGATCATGGAATTGGATGGGTCAAAAGCGAAACGGATCAGGGCCCGTCATGTTTTATTAGGCCCATGGACACAAGTGGGCCAGACCTTGGCTGAGCCGAATAACGAAGAGTTGGGTTTAGACTGGAGCTACCCTGGGCCTACTCTTCGTCATATGATATGGATCGACAAAAAAAAGGCAATTTTTTTTAAAGACCTCAGAAAACATAAACTCATGGAATCATAAATGAAATTTCTTTCGAAATTAAAGCACAAAAGCATCAGGCATGATCTTCTGTCTTATATTGCACCGACGCTTATACGAAACACGGGATATTACGGGACATGCTGATATGTTAATTTTAAAAAATATCATATTTTGACATATTAGAAAACGTTTTGATATTAAATAATATTTTTAATATGTATAATATAATTTATATTTAATACATATAACAGTTTATAATAAGTCATATAACTAATTAAATATTCAAATTTCATAACATAAATATAAAGCAAAAAAAAAAATTTCGTACCTTGTTAATAAAATAGTTAATTTATAAATTATTTTTTTCATATTTAGTTAATAAAATAAAAAATAAAATTTAAACATAAAAAATGTGTCAGAATTTTGATCGGGTGTCGAAAAAAGTTGATCGCGTGTCGTGTTGGTGCGTTGACCGCTTGTCTCAAAATATTGATTGCATGTCGGATGCGTGTCGGAATGTGTCGATATCCGACACGCATTTTATAAAAAAATAGTGTGTTGGTACTTTCTAGCTTTTGTCTATGGAAAAAAATTGTTATTTTTGTTGTGTTTTAGATTTATTTATTTTTTTAGAATAAGAAATAATAATTAGTGAAATCTTGTTAAAGTATTACCATAATCTCCATGATTTTCATGCATGCTTATTTGAATTTTCAAGGTTCATTTAATTATTTTTTTCATAACTAAATTCAAAAAGTATGGATGTGACTATAAAATAGCAGAAAAAGATAGTGTTTTCACTTTTATAGTTCGGCTTAACTCTTAATGATTGATACTCATTAAAGTGACAGGAAGGGGACATTACACTGCCGAATGCTAGAGCAACGAGGAAAAAACAGTAAAAAGGAAAGATTGTGAAAAAGAAATACTCTAATAAACGCATACATAAATTATCATAATCTAATTGCCCTAGTTCATGTCATTACTTGAAAGACAATACTGTGAGTGAGTTTGGTCACAATCTTCATCATAACGACTCTGCTTAATTAAATTCCACTCACATCACATTAGGAACCAAAATACAATATATAAAGAGAGGGAAAACTTGTCAACTTCTCAAATATATCGTAGGCAACAACACTGTTGGCCCCGTTACATTTCATAGCTATTCTTTCTTAGAAACCGAAAGGGACAAAGAAAAGGTTAGTAATATAGCTGCGAAACACTGTTCGCTGTTCGACAATGAAGGCCCACCAGATAACCAACTAATGAGCTCATTTTTTTGTACTCAAGGAGTACATGTTCTTTGTCCAAAAATGAGAGAGAAAAAAAAATTGGAAGGAAATTATAAAAGAAGAAAAGAATTTTAATGGGAGGAAATTTTTTTATTTTGGATAAAGGACCATTTAATTATTGGTGGTCCTGGATCACTTAAAAAAATTTCCAATTAAAGGATGTTCAAATAATTCATTCAATTCATCATTGTTAAATAGATTCGAAAAAATATTAATGACAAAAAAATTACAAGACTAATAATCGTATCATCTGCATAATTATTTTAGAGGGCATGATTATTTATCATTATGTCTTGCTTCAGACGGTAGCATTCAAGTGTCATGACTCATGTCAATGGTATATGCTTTTTAATTGGAACACCTAAGGTTTTTAACACATTATGTCTAGCATGATTTTTAATCTTTCATGATGTCCCATGCCCGAATATAAAACAAAATTTGAAATGTACTTCACGACAAAATCTTGCATCTTTTCAGGATAATTATCGGTAAATTTTTGTGGATGCATGAATTTGCGTATTCCACATGGTAAGAGTGTTTAATTAATAATTTAATCAGTTGTGTTGCTTGCCTTCGAAGTTCAGTGACACCTTCGATAGGCTAATGAGCTTCCTTCTTTATAGGATAAAGTTAAAACAAAAACTAAAAACAAAAGGAGAAATTTAGTGAAGCAAACTTTGGATTGGTATAACTTATCCATAGTGGGGCCAATGTTGGGGGAAGAAAGAACTCATTATTAGGTGGCCATTGTAGATTCGATCCAATAATAAAAAAATGTTACTAAAAAATTTAACACTCCCCACATTAAATTCCTCATTTATGCAAAAGTGAAGATTCTCGTGCGCTAAGAAATTTCGAAATAGGACCACACAACTCAATAGGTAACCGTTTGAGGGCTGAAACATTTGACCGTTAGGGACAAATCATTCAAATCTTATTATTATATCCAATGACACTCAAATTTTCAGTTTTTCGCTGCTTCTACTTCTCGCATCGTACAAAGTCAACCGATTCAACGATGAGACTAAAGTGTGCGATGAGCAGAAAATGGTGTTTTCAATATAACCCTCATTCAAAAAACTGAGTTACCCCACTTAAGCTTGTAGTCGTCGATTCCCTCGTAAACCAACGTCCCAGATTCACCCAAAATCAAATTCAAAATCACACACACTACCCTGCTCTTTCTTCTTCCTCTTCTTCTAGCTATACTCTGTTGAGCTTCAATTCTACCCTGTTAGGGTTTTCCTCGTAAAGTTTGCAACTTTGTGAATCACCTAGCAGTGTCTGCACCTGGGTCAAGAGCGAAATCTTCAGGGCATGTCTAGAAAGTAAGAAGAAAAAAAAAATCTCAGAATGCCGGTTTCAACTCGGTCTCAGATCATCACGAACCATGGTGAAAACGAGCCAAACCCAACACTTCAGAGGCTCAGAAACCCACACCATGGTCTCAAGGAGAAGCTCAAAACGCTCACTCTCTTGTACGAGCAGCAGAAGCAAGCCTCTGCAGCTCTCAAGAACGTGTCTTTAAGACCCCAAGATAAGGAAAAGGAAAAGGATGTGATGCGAGAGAACACAATGCCAAACTCAACCGTCACAAGAACATTCGTGTTGCCTCAACCACCCTCAGAGGATGATGACTCAAAGGAAAATCTCAATGTGGTAGTTGGTGCTGATCGAATTGTTGGGTTTTCGTGTCCAAGAAAGGTTACAACAACAACAACAACAACGGTTCCAATTTCAAGTTCAGCCACCGTTGCTCGGAAACTCTCAATGGGGACGTTGGCACCGAGAGGGAACGTGCAAGAGTCAGAGAAAACAGAGGGGGTTTCGGAGAAGCAGGGGAAAGTTGAGAGCAGAATTCTCGTGTTCGTGAGGCTTAGGCCAATGAACAGGAAGGAAAAGGAAGCGGGTTCACGGTGCTGCGTGAGGATCGTCAATCGCCGTGACGTTTATCTAACGGAGTTTGCCAACGAGAACGATTACCTCAGGCTCAATAGGCTTCGAGGACGCCATTTCACCTTCGACGCTGCGTTTCCAGATTCTGCTACTCAGCAAGAAGTTTATTCCACCACGTGAGTTTCTCATATTTCTTTATTCTTGAAATTTAAAAAATCTGAATTGTTTTGTTATGTTTTGAATTGTACTTGTTTTGTTTTGAATTGCTGCATTTTCTCATATCTTCATTACTTCCTTGCTGTGAGTACCAAAGAGGAAAGATTTTAAGTTTAAAACAATGTTTTTGCGTCATAACATTGATATTACCATCTATAATTTGCATGACGACTTATAATTTGTATCCATAATTTGCTAGCTATATTAATATGATGTGTTCATAATTTGATTTTCGTTAATCTAACGGTTATATTTTATTGTAAATTATTGGGTTGTACTTATTAATTAATTCTTAGTTCTTAATAATTTATAACCGTTGGATTGACGGAAATAAAAAATGATTAGATTGGTTGTAAAGGTGGCAAACATTTTTTGTGGTAAGTATATCCAGTCCCGTAAAACATTGTGGACAAGGGTGCCTATACAATTTTATGCTTAATATTCATCATGCATTCAGAAACATTATTGCTTTAGCTGTAGTTTGTATTTGATGGAGAAGTGTATGTTTACTTTTTTTTTTTTTTTGTCCAGAACCTCAGAACTTGTGGAAGCAGTTCTGCAGGGGAGGAATGGGTCAGTTTTCTGTTATGGTGCCACAGGAGCAGGAAAAACTTACACAATGCTTGGCACGGTCGAGAATCCAGGCGTGATGGTTTTGGCAATTAAGGATCTTTTCAGTAAAATCAGGCAGAGAAGTTTTGATGGAAGCCATGTGGTTCATCTGTCCTATCTTGAGGTTTACAATGAAACTGTCAGGGATTTGCTTTCCCCTGGAAGGCCTCTTGTTCTTAGAGAAGATAAACAGGTTCTCTTTCTTATCTTAATAAAATAAAAACTTCACAAGTATTCAGTCCTTTTGAAAGAAAGTGGATGGTTTATGCTATTGCTTGTTGTGTCTAAAGATCATGCAAATCTGTATACAGTTAAATCTACTAATATATAACAAACTTTTTTGAGCAATAGCATTTGAAGATCATGTTTACCTTTCATTTGAACTTCTACTCTTGAAAGATATCTTATGATACATTGTTGATTGTCCAATTATGTTATAGGGGATTGTGGCGGCAGGTCTTACACAATATAGAGCTTATTCTACGGATGAAGTAATTTTCTGATCCTTTTTAGAAGACTATAACTTTACACAGCTGTTTCAAGTTTGAACCTTCATTTAGCATTTTTTTTCCCTTTCTCTTCTGTGTTGATTCAGGTGATGGCATTGCTTCAACAAGGAAATCAGAACAGAACCACCGAGCCAACTCGTGCAAATGAAACATCTTCGCGTTCCCATGCAATTTTGCAGGTAAACCATAGAGGTTTTGGAGGAAAAATGTAGGATTCATTTAATGTTGTGATTGTGACATGTTCTTCTTACTAACCAAATGCACCTTATTTTGTTACACCTAGGTTATGGTTGAATACCGAGTTAGAGATGCTGCAATGAATATTGTTAACCGAGTGGGCAAGCTCTCATTAATCGATCTTGCAGGGTCAGAGAGAGCTCTTGCTACAGATCAAAGAACAGTTAGATCTCTGGAGGGTGCCAACATAAACCGGTCTCTTCTTGCATTAAGCAGCTGCATTAATGCTCTTGTAGAAGGCAAGAAACACATACCGTATCGAAATTCAAAACTCACTCAACTTCTCAAGGATTCACTAGGAGGAACTTGCAACACTGTAATGATTGCAAACATAAGTCCAAGTAACCTCTCATTTGGTGAAACTCAGAACACCGTTCATTGGGCTGATAGAGCCAAGGAGATTCGGTTAAAGGTTGAATCCTCTTACCATTTCAAGCTAGTATCTCCAAATGTTGAGGCATAAAACTGATATATTTTTGTGATGAAGTTGAATAACGTAATCTGTTATATATGTGGATACAGGCAAGTGATGCAAATGAGGATCTATTGCCAGTGCCTGAGACAGAAACTGACCAGGCCAAGCTAGTACTTGAGCTGCAAAAGGAGAATCGTGAATTAAGAATACAGCTAGCACGGCAACAACAGAAGCTTTTGACTCTCCAAGCACAGTCCTTAGGTGCACATTCCTCCCCAACACCACCTTCAGCTGCATCTCTTTCCACTCCTCCAACTTCTGCGCAACCAAGTGAAAAACGAAGGACTAGATCCTCTTTCTTGGCTGGAACTTGTTTCACTCCAGAAACCAAGAAGAAGGGAGCTGAGGTAGCTGTGAGGACACTTCAAAGGACTGTGAAAGCACTAGAGGCAGAGATAGAGAGAATGAAGAAAGATCATAGCTTGCAACTAAAGCAAAAAGATGATCTTATTCGCGAGTTTTCACAAAAGGGTCTAAAACAAGCATTAACAACAGCCGGGGAAGTGGGGAAGAGAGTAGTAACCAGGGCTAGTGTACAGGCAAAGGAGCCAAACAATGGTGAGTTGAAGAGTCCAAATCATCGTTTTCGATCACCAGCCCCAACTGCCAAGAAACGAAGCTTTTGGGACATAACCACAACTAATAGTCCATCAGTTACTACATTAAATGGGAGAAAAACCAGAAGTCATGTACTCTCTGAACCAACTGCACCTCCTCCTCCGTCCATGCTTCTTCAGGTAGGTACAGTGATTCTTCCATCCCTAGTCCTTACCCTTTTCACTTGCATAAGCACATTAGTTTCCTTCTTCTATAACTGATGCAGCTAACTTATCCATGTATGTTTCTTGTTTGTGTTGATGCTTGTGCTCGTGCCCCCACATCATCAATTACATTATTCAGCCAGGTTTTGCTCGTCAAAAAGCTAATGTTTAAAGTGATTTACGAAGGAGTGGAAGAGGAAGTTGCCAGAACACACAAGGAAGCTCAATATTAGAGAAAGATCATTGCCTGCATGATATGCTCCTCCTTTGTTGCCATCTTTTTATGTCTCTGCTCAAAGGATGATAGTGTAGCCAGCCAAAGATCCGAGTATTCTTTGTAGTTTGTATGCTTCTTCATTCACCACCCCTCCCTCCATACCACTTTCATAATTTCAGGCTATTAAAGCTTTAGGAGAAAACTCCAAAATCTTTATTATATGTATATACATTCATTGTTTTTTCGACCTAGATCCTTCAATATTTTTATGGGCTTCATAAAGTTAAACATCTAGAACATCAAGTTTGTAAGACTCAACATCTGCATGTGAGCCAAATCAAGATTTTGATATCATTTTTGAATTGAAACAGAGCTAACTTTTCGGGTTGAGTTAGGCATAGTTTATTCTCAAGTTTAACCGATCCTAACGTTTTGCCACCTGCGTATGTCCTGTCTTATAAACTTCATGCGTGAGACGTTTAGTCTTGAATATGCCAAAGTACCCCCCTTGTAATAACTTGAGCAATTTTTTCCTCTTAAACTTGTTTTTGAAGTTGAATTATGCCCGGTTTGTTCTCAATTATAATAAATATGAATAAACAAAGGTCTTATGTTGGAAAGGAGGAATAGATAAAATGAGGACTTTATGAAGTAAATAACTTGTGAACCTACTGCAATAAGATTTGGGACTTATACCTGGTGTCAGGCCTTGAAATAGAACTCTCCGAAAGTTTGGGGTTCCGCTAGTTCAAACCAAGATTAAAACATAATTTTAAGTGATCAATTTACTCTGTATACATAAGGAGAAATAAACATCTAATCATCTTTGAAAATAATGTACAATGAAAATATAAGTTGGATAAATCCAACATGTGCGGCCTACTAAAAAAAACCAACATGCGCATATTGTTGTGACTTCGGCTAGTGCACTGGTAGTATAAGTAATATAATAAAAAAGAGTGGGGTTGTCGTTCCCACGAAGATTAATTTACCAAGCACTAACTTATCTACGTGACCAAAGTTGAATCGATTTTTAAGGTTTTTTGAGAATATGATTTTAAATTAATAAAAATGAAATTTTAAAACTAACAATTAAAAATTAAAGATCAAGATTCAAGAACGCAAGAAGCACCGGTTTGAAATCAAATAAAGACAAGCATAGTTAGAGATTTGATTTTCCTAACAGTTCTACCCTTTCAAGCAATTAATATTTAAGATCAAGTTATCGACGATTCTCTCTAAATTAATTAAACCCCAATCTTTTACTTTATTAAAAATCCTAATCCCTTAAAGGTTTTTCCTAGAGCAAGCATTAAGAGCGAGAATCACATGTCATAGAATTCATAAGTCTATGCCTATATCATACAAACCCTAACAATTAATCAATCGGAATCAAGACACCAACATTCATATTGTCGTGCAAGATTCATGTGTTTATATATGAGTGATCAGTTCAAACAAAGCTAGTCGTGGGAAAACAAATTAATTGCATAACCTGAAACATGAACATCAATTACAAGAAAGAATAAAACAGTGTTAGGAATCCATTGGTTTCATCTCACCCTAACTACATAAAGAAATCTAGCCTATCATGTTCATAGAAACAAGAACAAGAGATGAAAAGTAAAGAGAATTCATGACCTGATCTCCACGGCGAAGCTTTGACCGTTCCTCTGCTCTAGAACTGCTCCTCTGCATCCTCAAGGTGTCTCCGGCCGTCCAAGAATTTCAAATAATAACCCTAATCATGCCTTTTAAAACATGAAGGTGCATGGGCTTTTAATTTACGGACTTCTCACTAGGCTGCTCGCTTAAGCGAGCAAGTCAACAAGGAAATTCGACGTGCTCGCTGAACTTGCACAATAAAGCAAGCAAGCCAGCAAGGAGTGGGCAATCTTGATACAAGCTCGCTGGACTTACTCGCTCAAGGTAGCAAGGACGAGACTTATTCGACTCTTGATTTTGCTTGAGTCTTGGCTTGATTCTTGACTTCTTCAACTTCATTGATCTATCAAAACTTTAATTTAGCATTTTAAACTTGAAAAAAATATAATTTGAAGTCAGAATTATGTCCATTCATAAAACTCAAAAGTCTTTTGCATATATTAATTTTTTTACTATGTTCTTGACCATATTCATCATTATTTATCCTATTTTTGGTCTTATAAACATCGTATCTTTAACACTTATCCAATCATTCTCAGATTTACTCATTGTTGTCCTCAACAATGGACTAATTTAAGAATATGGGGAAAATGCAAAAGTATGAAACTTATGCTCAATGAATCATCAATAAAAGAATTAGAAAGTAAATCAATTCATCAGTGATAAGACTTAGAAAAATAACAAGACTCTCAGAACATACATCTAATCAAGCAGTTTCCAAAAGTAAGCAAGTCATAGAACACAACAAGAGATCAATCAACAGAGCATAGAAAAATTGAATCAAAGCACGCCCCTCACTGGAATATTAAAGTCACTCATCACTCAAATGTCTAAAGGGAAGGATAAATATTCGTACTACCATATACTTGGTCATATTCTTACTCTCCACAGTCAATTAACATGCACAGAAAATCAAGAGGTATTTATTCAGGTTGTAATAGGGCTTGGTTAAGGGAAGGATAAATAAGGATTAATGTGGCTAAAGGATTGAAATACAAAATGATCATGGCATAAGTGTAAAAACTTTTTTTTTGCATACAATCCTTTTCTCCCTCTTTCATTCTTTTCCTTTTTCAGAGCTTTTATTTTTATATATTTTTCTTTTTCAACCCCAATACTTTTCTTTTTCTTTTTTCATTTTTTTTCTCTTTTTTTTTCAATACTTTTATTTGCACATAATTTAAAGTAGTAACATATACTAATAATATATTTTTTTATTCACCATTTTCTAACCTTTGTTTTTGCTCCTCTCTCATAACCTCATTTTTTACCACTAAGCATCATAGGACATGATGCTCATGCTCACACCCTGCCATGTAAATTCTACGGTCCAATCCTATCTAAGGTAGATGTGTTTGTGGAGTGACTAATTAAAATAACAGGTTATTAAGAAAAGAAACAGCTTAAGCTCAAAAGGGCTAAACAAATAATTGCATAAAGGGTGTCTTTATGGCTAAGTAGCTAAAAAAAGACTGCTCCTCTGCCTCCTCAAGGTGTCTCCCGCCGTCCAAGAATTTCAAATAATAACCTTAATCGTGCCTTTCAAAACAAGAAGATCCATGAGCTTTTAATTTACGAACTGCTCGCTGGTTTGCTTGCTCAAGCGAACAAGTCAATAAGGAAATTCGACGTGCTCGTTGAAGCGAGCAAGCCAGTAGTAGGCAATTTTGATACAAGCTCGCTAGACTTGCTCGCTCAAGCGAGGATTAGACTTCTTCGATTCTTGATTTTGCTTGATTCTTGACTTCTTCAACTTCATTAATCCATCAAAACTTTAATTTAGAATTTTAAATCTCAAAACAATATTATTTGAAGTCAGAATTATGTCCATTCATAAAACTCAAAAGTCTTTTGCATTTATTAATTTTTTTACTATGTTCTTGACCATATTCATCATTATTTAATCTATTTTTGGTCTATTAATTTAGTATCACATATGTGGCGGATACATCATGTAAATTTATTTATTTTTTTGATAACGAGGGAAATACACAAAAACAATTACATCCTACACAGTCTTGGGCTACTGATGCCCATAACATCTCTAGCTTGGGTTGGGTTGGTGATTGTTAGGAGGAGTCAGTTATGAAAAAACAATATAATAATAAATAAGTCAGCTTCTAGCTTGGCGTTCATGACCCAAAACAAAGGGTCGAATCTGCTTTAATTCATCTATCAAATGGTACACTTACTAAGCTGCATAATGATTTATAATTTTTGTAATGAAATGGTTGGAATTTTTTATCCAGGGTCTTTTAACGAAATTTTATAAGCCTACATATCATCCACCATTGGAATATTTTTATGAAATCTACTACTATTCAAGTAGACCTCCAAATCAGCACCTAGCTTCATAGGTGGTGCTGACTTGGAGCCGATATTTGGGATGTTTGCATACTTGTAAGGACCACATCACCCTACAATTAAAAATGTAAAAGATGAAATATGCACTTAAACTCTGGTGAGATTAAGGCCGTTTTCTGATGTATGCATACTTGTCACGACCATATCACCCAACAATTAAAAATGTAAAAGATGATTGTACCAAAAAAAATAAAAAAAATTGTAAAAGATGAAACATGCATTTAAACTCTCTGTGTGGTGAGATTAAGGCCGTTTTCTGATGTATGGATACTTGTCAGGACCACATCACTCTACAATTAAAAATGTAAACGATGAAACAAGTTGGAATTTGTAAATGCACTTAAACTCTTTGTGTGGTGAGATTAAGGCCGTTTTCCTCGAAGGAGTGTACAATAATCTATGAGGCAATGATATAGATCAAAACTCATTGGAGAGTCACCGTGTGTATGAGGGCATTGTGGCTCTCGATTTTGTTGGGAATGGAACGAGGGAGCCCAAAACCCTATGAAGTTAAATTGTTATGTTTATTAGGGATATAATGGTTGACGTTATGACATTATGAGTAGTTAATTAGTGGTGTTATGAGGGTGTTATGAGACTCTTGATTAGCTTTGTAATGAGTCTCTTCATTGGTACTTTCAGTTTTTTATGTTGCCTATTAATAGGCTTGATGTGTTGAAGAAATATATTATTCCCTTTTCAATATTCTTACGTGTCTCAATATTCTATCAGTGGTATCAGAGCCAACGATCTGGGCCAAGTGTTTGGAAGGCCTCTGCAGAAAGCTAGTGTGACCCTGATATTTAAAAGAGAAAAAAAAAGGACTTCCGCAGAAGTTGCCCTTAGGGTAAGAATGATATTGGGCCTCACACTTGAGGGAGGATGTTGGAAAAAATCAAGTATGAGTTGTAAAGAAGTACCACATAGACTAGACATAGACCAAGTGATGACGATATAAGTGTGAAAGACCCATAAACCTATAGCCTTAAGGTTTTGGGTTAAGATGTGGTGTCGGCCCACTTATTATGGTTTGTCATTTGGCCCATTGGTGGATGTACCCTTTGCAAAGGGTTTTGGGCTCCCTCGTTCCATTCCCAACAGATTTAGTTATGCAGTGTAACAACTCTTTAATGAGTGTATCAAAGGTGATTCTTTAATGGCTGAACAGAGATATTTATAAGTGGGGTTTATGGTTTAAGGTTTAGGTCTCACTGTGTATGAGGCAAGCACACTCACCTGAAACGTGAGGTGTGAGTTATTATTTATAGATAAGGAAGGCCCTACTGTGTGTTGGGTAAGTACACTCAGATTAAACGTGAAATGTGAGTTGTGCTTGTACAACGAAGTGACACTCTCTATAATGAAAGTCTAAAAGTCTCACTTTAAAGATGGAGTGGAGTGATCCTTTTATATGAACCTTAGTGATCGGCCATTGGATTGGGTCAGTGAAACCGGTCCAAAACGACACTCTCCTAATTTTTACTACTAAATGCACTCTTCTAATTTCTATTTTCATCTCTTATCTCAGTGGTTGTTTGGGGTTTTGATGCACTAATTAGAGCAATAATGATATAAACCAGTGGCCCAATTAGCTTTTATATCTTTTGAAGAATGATGACTAGATGATTAAAAAAAAGTTTGGTTTCGGCGAAAGACATTTTAACAATTTGATTTTGTCCTAGCTGTAAGCCACATATGATTCAATCTTTTCTCTTGTAAAATGCAGGGAAATAGTAGGAAATTTTGAAAGCCAGAAAACTAGGAAGAGGGGAAAGGTAAAAAGGGTGAACACTATTATGATCAAATTATCGAGGTAAAGGATTTTCTTTTTGGGGATTAAATAAGAGGGTAGTGGTCATATTATATGTTAACGGTGGTGGGCTATAAGTATACACTTTGTGACTCAAGCGGCACAAATCACTGAGTCACAAACTGGCGAGAATGTTTGAGAATTGAATTCGGCCAACAAAAGAAAAGCAGTCAACAAGAGGAAAAGCTAATGGTTGAGTGTATAAATAAAGTAAAAGTGAGGAAAAGATGAGGTCTTCTGTCAGATTGTTTGCAACTGGATATGGATTTCTTTTTCTTTTCTTATATTGCTTTTGATGACTTCAATGATTAGGCATTAACAAAAATTCTTGGGATCAATTCACAAAACAAAACTGTGCATAAAAAGCAATGATTGGAACAATCTTAACTTTAGACCAAATACTAAAATTTTGTTGGATTGAAGGAACACGTTGATAAGGAAGGGATCCTAACTGAACAGGGAAAGAATATCAGAAGGAAACAAATGAAATGGCACTCAAACCAAATAAATAGTAATTAAGTTATCATCCAACAGAATTCAAATGAAAGAAAGTACATCATATTATGAAAATTTTAGTTTGTAGTAATGTGCTAGGGCATAAGAGTAATGGAAAGATCGGACCAAAAAGCTTGGACTCTTTAATATTCAGAAGTCCAAGCAGCACTTCAATTGTGGGGAAAGAATTGAATCAGCAAACAAATTAGTAGCACATAAGGGAGCAGGGGGAACACAAAGCAAAGAAGGCAATTCATAAGTTGGAATTAAATAAAATGGCATAATGAAACTGCCAAAGTTAATCATGATTTGAAAACAATCATGATTTGCATTAACCCCCCCTCCTCTCATATTACTAATTAAAGGAATTAAACAAGATAGCATAATGAAACTGCCAAAGTTAATCAACCATATAAAAATGTGAAGACAATAATGATCTGCATTAACCATCCATCTCATATCACTAATTAAAGGATTGGAAAGAAAACTATGCATATACACCTTTCATGACCCACCCCCCATCATCATCATACAGTAAAGTATTGTGTTGCCAACAATTTCCCACCTTTCTGCCTTTAGCCTACCCGCCCTATACTAACAAAAAAACAGAAACCCCACTTCTTCTACTCCCTCCGGGAAGAAGAGGAGAGAACTAGGTCTCCATTTTCATGATTGAAGAGCTAAACAAGTAATATAGGAACAACCTACAGTTACAAATCCACAAAGAACAAAAACTAAAAAAAGGAAAATAAAAATAAAAATAAGTATAACTAAACACAACTTCCAGGGATAGCTGCTAGACTCTAAGCAAATAAACACTGAGCTCAGGTGCTCCCTTGCTATCAGGATTCATCATGTAGAAAGCCTCAGAGTCTCTAGACCCAACAATTCTCTCAAACCTAGCCCTCAAGTACATGATTTCACCATCAGAACCTGCTTCAGCTCCATCATTATTCCCTGGGAAAACGCCAGCACCCATTGAAATTGGTTCCACGGCTTTCAGGATATCCCAGTCTTTTGCTCCGCATTCTCTTCTGGTAGCAAAACCACACTTCTTGCCGTTACAGTATGTCCTCCACTGAGACTCCTGTAGCAACCTCACAACCTTCTTCTCTGCTTCTTTCTCCTTATCACATTCCAGAGCAATTCGTACCAACCCAGAAGCCATTTCACGAACCAAACCACTGATTGGTGTTGCAAGCTCGATGAGGAAAGCAGGTTTGGAAGTTGGGTCCTTCTGAAACGCGAAATTTACATGGCCACGACGGTGCCCGAAGAGGGTGCCCACAACTCGAGAACCAAGGCTAGAGGGTGGTAGGTTGGAGCGGTTCTTGCCAAAAACAGTGAGAACAGAACGAAGCCTTGAAATTGCCACGTTCTGAAGCTTTCTCCTTGTTGCATGGGAAGTGGCTGCACGTCCTGGAACAACCTTGTTGTTGTCATCATCCTCTTTTTTTGTCTCCTCGTCTATGATTTTGGAAATTGTTTCGGAGGTGGGAACTTCACCGTCTTCATTTCCAACCTTGTTGGTCCAGTGGAAGTGCCTCTTGGAGGACATTTCTTGAGGGGTTAAGGTTGAGGTAGTATCCATGTCAAGTGTTTTCATCTGACAGAGAGAAAAAACAAGCTTTAAAAATAGTTGGTAAAGAGAGACAGAGAGCCAGAGAGAGAGAGAGAATGAATCTGGTTTCTTCTTTTTACAATTGGGGATAGATATGTGGGGATTTTAAGTTTAATTAATTGTTTCTTTGTAATTCTACCTGTCTTGGTTCGATTCTCGTATCTTATTTTTTAAATGGAATTTAAATATCTTTATTTTTTTTATTCATTTTACATTTTAGATTAATCTCATAATCGATTTAAAGAATCAAAATTTGTGATAATACTAAGAAAAGCCAATTCAACTCAAAGAAATAATTAGAGTTAGATTAAAAAAAATTTGGTACAACCTTTGATATATATATATATTTTTTAAAATATTCTAATCGATTGATCATTTCATGACTAATCCGATTTGAGGTGGATTCTTATATTAAGACTTTAAACATCTTTCAAATATAATACTGAAAAGAGATCGAATAGATACTCTCACCCTACTTAGTTTCTTGATACCAACTGAATTACGATACCCTTTAATATATATGAAGTGCAAGAGAATCCAGATGGAACAGTGATCAAAGTGTCACTGTTTAACAAAAAAAATTATCCAAATGTCACGTGAACCGTACTTTTTACCATACTGTCACGCGATGTAATTCGCTACGACTGGTAGCAAATTACGTTCGCTAATGATTTCGCTAATGACTCTGTGGTATCAGAGCAGCTCTCTTCCAGTACGGTGTGGTTTGAGGACGAACCAGGCGGAAGCTGGTGGGCATGTAACATCCCAAGAGCTGACAAGGGCAGGGAGTGATCGCCGGTGCGAAAGGGCACGGACAATGAGCGGCTCATGCCAAATCTTGCAGCTTGGGGGTTCATGAATGAATCGAATCAACACCCGAAAGAGAGGGATTTCAGAGACTGTGCTGATATGGGACGGTACAGTTAGGAAGGGCTTATAAGAATTAATTGGTATCACTAATAGCGAATTACGTCTGGTCAATTTTTTTCTGCGAAAATATACCATGTGTCATAAAATCATTGGCGAACTTAATTCGTTACCGGTCGTAACAAATTACGTCGCGTGACAATTTAGTAAAAAGTACTGTTCGCGTAATATTTGTATAAAAAATTTGTCAAAAAATGACAATTTGGTCGATGTTCCCAATGCAGACAAAAGAAACATGGGTGGTCCCAGCAGCTGGTATAGGAAATCAGAAATAGAGAGACTGGGATAGAGTGCGCTTTCAAATAGAAAAGAAAGGAATCTGAGGAGACAATGTGTTTTGATATTTCGCTTTCTTGTGGGGACAGGGAGAGTGAGAGAAACAGAGAGGTTTGTGCAGCTGTGCTTGACTAAACTCTTTTGACTTATGCTCAAAACAATAAAAAAAAAAAAAAAGATTGAAAAACAAAAACTAAAGATAAAACAGCCATCACTGTTGAAACTTGACATGCCCTTAGCAACCTCTTATGCTGCGTCCATGTCTTCAAGTGCAAAGGGCGCACAATGGTGACATCGGGTTAAGGATGACTGAATTCTCGTGGCTCATGCTGGCTACAGAGACTACATTAGACGTATCAACGAACTGACACCTTATTGTAAGTTAGGTACAAAAGCACTCTGATTGTTCGGATCAACTGAAGAATGTGAATTGAGTTATTTACACTCTATTTAGATGAAAGTTAATTTTTCAATAATAATAACCAATAACGAAAATAATAGAGAGATAATATAAGTAATTATGTCGAAAAACTCAAAAAAAGATAAAAATAAATTCATGAACCCAATCCGGATAACTTTTATCTATTTGGAGACAAATTTATTACTAAGTGACGCTGAATTCAAACTATTAAGAATAGAATATATTTTACATTTAGAGTAAATATCTTTTTTGGTTTTCAGCAAATTTCACGATGTCCGTTTTAGTCCCTAGCAAATAAAAAGGCTTATCGTGGTTCCTGATAAATTCAAAATGGACTCATTTTAGTCCTTTTGAGGACTAATATGAACCTTTTTTGAATTTGTGAGGGACTACGATTTCAATTAAATGGGTCCATTTTGAATTTCTTAGGGACCACAATGAGCCTTTTTATTTGCTAGGGACTAAAACGGACATAATAAAATTTGCTGAAGACTAAAAAAATATTTACTCTTACATTTATATAAAAATTTACTCAAACATATTTCTAGATTCAGGCACCCCAATTTATCTTAATAAATTGGGCCTCAATTGTCAAAACCCCAATAACTGCTGAACTCATTTTCTACTCTTAGTCAAAAGTATAAAACTCCAATTATTAGATAATTGTGCCCTTATTTCCTACTCTCTGGCAATAGTTAAAAGAAAATAAAGAACAAATTAAGAGTTAATCTACTTTTACTTAATAAGCAAATAGGTACAAATTAAACTTAAGCAACGGATTTAATGAATCTGTTCATGTCTAGTTTTAAAATTATTTTAAATGTGCTTTTAAAAGAAATGATCATAACAGTTCAATGTGTTTTCCTCTTGAATGTTCATCCATACTTTGAAAAAAGATTCAAAACATAATTTTTATAGATTTTTTCTTAATATCAGTTACTAAGAAAAATTCTCTAAATTTTTGGACTAGATCATCTTTCAAGATTATCATTATTGTTAAGAAAACTTTCCAATATTTTTTTTGAAAATTAGAATCACAATTTTCAAAATAATTTTCCAAAATTTAACTTTTTAAAATTAAACAAAATCAATTCAATTTTTTAAAATTATTTTTTTTATTTTTCAAATAAAAAATTAAATCTTAAAAGGAAATAATGTTTCTGTTATAGGAAATAAAATTATCTCTCCACATCCTTAAAATTACGCAATTTTATATTTAAAAAAAAAAAAAAAAAAAACCTGACTTGCTTTGCTTTAGCATGCCATTATTCCACAATTCTTAATAATGGCTTTAGCATGCCATTATTCCACAATTCTTAATAATGGCTTTAGCATGCCATTATTCCACAACCCATAACAAAAAAATTACAATTATCTTAACACTTAATCTTCCTCTGGAGGTACTTTTCACAATTATCTTAATTGCCCATAGTTAAAAAATTACAAGTTGACCTCATGATCCACTTTTTACTTATTTTACAGAACTTTGAACGTTTTCTTCTTCGTGCAGTTTTGTTTTCGTTATTTATCTGATGGAGGAAAACATAAATTCTGTCCCAAAATTCGTGTTTAAGATATGGTTTTCTCTCAGTAATTAGTTATTTGACTTATTGATATTTTATTATCTTAATCTATATAGAATATCCGATCGAGGGTTCTGATTTGTGCAGGAAAGAACAACACAACTTCCAACACCATAACAGTACCAATTGTTATTGTTGTGATGGTGCTCATTTTTATCCGTATCTATTTAAGAATGAGGAAACCAAAAAGATATAAAAATAAGTCCAAGTACTGATTTACTGTGACTTGTTTTCCATTTCGCAGCTCTACACTGTTGTAATGAAATTTAAAGAGAAAATATCCGCCTAACATAAACGAATTAATTCTAAATAGCTATATAATTAATATATCTTGATTAGTTAAGTTAGAGTAATTCTTTCTATCAAATAATGCGAATAACCGAATAAGGAAAAAGAACTGAGGAAGTCAATAACCATTTTGTTCCGGGTTTACTTTAAGAAACTATATCTAACAATGTTAGTTTTAAACTGCATGGAATTACTGAATTAAAATAAGCTTCATTTTTTCTGTAGTAATCAATGTAGATAAGTTATATATAATTCTATATTGAATTCAAAATGACGTTGTTGTGAGACTGAAATTAAAGTATTTTTGTAATTATAATTTATTTCAGAGTTATAATAGTATTTTTCATTATAGTTTTTTAATTGTTCAACCCAAAACGACGTCGTTTTAGGAGTGAACATAGATAAATTCACTCTGGAAACATTAAAATCATTAAAATGATGGCAAAAGGCTTTCGTTGTAAGTATTGCTCTTATATCACATACGAAAAACTCACTAGTTTAACTCCTTCCCCGAGTGAAGCCCAGGAAGAAAAAGATGATGATGAAATTAAAATTACCAAGATTGCAATTCAATTTAACACCATTCGAGATGCTGCAAATGACTTCTCCGATTCTAATAAACTCGGACGAGGCAGATTTGAGGCTATTTACATGGTAAGATAGCACTGTATTGCGGAAGATGGTGGAGATGAAGAGAGAAACAAGAAAAAACGCTAAGTAAATTAGTTTTTTTTTTTTAATTCTAAACGGTATATTTATCTCATGTGACAACTGACAAGAGAAATATTGTTCCCACCTTAAAAATCCATTTAGATCGAAAATAAAACCTATCTACTTTCTTTAGTTTTAAGATAATATAACCAAAGATATAATCACAATTCACCTCATCTAACTATTATACAAAATCTAAAATTTTATCTTACAATTTCGCATAACAATTTTATTTAATTCACTTCTTTATAATTCATCACAAATTAAATCCTGCAACAAACTTTCAAAAGCTAAACAAATTGTTAGACAATTTGACTTCTCTTATTCATTATTATCAAAACTAGGCAAGGAGTAAGACCCAACACACTCAATCCTATTAAGCTATTAAGGAAATTGAAATTTAACCCAAAATAATCTTAACAGAATTTTTCAAAAAAATTTATACATCTTTTAGAATTTATTCACGGGAAATGTTATAGTTACTACCTTTTATTCTTACTACTTGTTATTACTAAATCTTAACCGTTGATTTCCGTAAACTTAACGGTTATAATTTTTTGAGTCACATTTATTAATTAATTATTAATTCTAATAAATTATAACCGTTAGATTGACGAAAATCAACAGTTAAAATTTGGTAGTGACAAGTAGTAAGAAAAAAAGGTAGTAACTATATTCTCTCCCTTTATTCACATGAGAACTTGAAAGGGATATATCCGTGAATAAGTTATCTGCGGAAATAATTTCCATGTAAAGCCAGTCCTCTAGTTAAGATTCATCTTGCATAAGGGCGGCTGAGCGAGGTTGAAATGACATGCCTCAGTATACTGCTTTTCGAGCTGTTTTTAAAGATTTCCCATATTCACCAATGGAACAGAAACAAACAGAACACCGTTGTTTCTAAATATTTCATAACTTGTTACAATCTAATATAGTCGCTACAGTCAGAATCAAGCTAGGAGCTGATACTATGTAGAAGATACAGAATGTAAATGAACTAATTACAAGTAATTCTAAGCAAAGGAGGGTTTTCATGAACTCTCACTAATTACATTGACTTACATATAAGGATTCATTGCTAAAATACAAATTGAGAGCACATCCACATAGGCCAGCGATCCAGTGAATGGATTTTGTACACAATCGAGCTCATTAGAAGCACAGACAGGAGTCAGAGGTGATTTCCTATGCTTCAGTATATAGTAAAGGTCCTAACGTTAGCTATCTAAACTTTGGTCAGCATCTGGCTGCTTGGAAGAAATGGCCCCGCCGTTCATCCTCGCACGTGCCTCTGCAAACATCCTTTGTTGCTCTGCTAATGCTTCTTCCTCGGTCATCTCAGCTCCATTGCTCCATTTACCACTTTTTAGAGTGTCGTGCTGGAAGATAACAAACTCAATCAGAAAATAGTTTCTCTTTTCCAGATAGACCTTTGGAAATGGTATCCTATAGGTAAATACCCTGGAAAGAGCTTAATGGGCTGGTAATCTGACTATGCTTTCCACTCCTTTCCTCTCCACTGTGTGTTTTCAGCATGCTGTTTGAGAACATGGTCTGCGATGAGTTTAGCTGTTAAATTGAAATCTCTTACAATTCCTTAGTAATTTTTATTGTCATTCTATGCTTGTAGACTTGCAACAGATTTCAATTTTAACAGCCAAACTCAGCGCAGGCCATGCCCTCAAACAGCATGCTGAAAACACCCGGTGGAGAGAAAAGGAGTGGAAAGCATAGTCAGATTACCAGCCGATTAAGCTCTCTGTCCAGGGTATTTACATATAGGATACCATTTCCCAAGGTATCTCTACCAAGGGGGTTAGATAGGAACCCTGACTAATTTGGGGAGATGACCATCAATGAGGCTTGCAGGTGCTCCCCCAAGATAGTACATGTTTTGTCTGACCCCAGTTTGAAAACAAAAATTCAGCTTCCACTAAGATTGTTCAAGATGCTCAGATAAACAACTAAAGATGGTTCATCTGAGGGAGCACTCCACATTTTCATAGTTATTTTACTTTTACTTTTTGGTAAGAGTTCACCCACAAAAACAATTTGGGGGACGAGGGGTGAGGTTTAAAAGAGAGTGATTATGCTAAGTTGTATTATACCTCTCAAGTATTCAACATGCATATGAAACATTAATATTAAAAATTACCATGGTCTCATTCTTGTGCTGTTCATACGCTGCATAAACTTCTTCAATGTACTCACCAAATCCAAGAACCTGGGAGAAAAATGTTTAAATCAATAAACAAAAATCAATATTAAGCATGTTTAAAAAAATCCAATTAACCCGTTCTTGACAATCTCATATACATATGTTTAAAAAACAAACCTATGCTGTGTTTGGAATACTTTAACTTTAGGGTTAAAGAGAATTCATTTTAAATGAAATGAATTTTCTTTAATTAAGCCATTTCTAAAGGCTAAAATATACACACAATATATATATAGAAAACAGACATACTGCTATGATCAAATACCAGCAGTTTGCACGAAACCATGTAGTTACTTAATAAAATAAAAAAAATGGCAACAACTATTTTGGCTCCACGATGAGGTAATATCTTATGAGTGCACACATTTTATTGACTGGGAAGCAGGAGACAACATGTAGTAAGGACAAGTAATAAATCTGTAATCAACAAAGGACAGCCTAATCAGGTACTTGGTATTTCAATTTCAGGTGTTGGAAAGTTGTGCACCAGTCTCATTACATATTAGAACGCAATGAATTGATTGTGGTTTCGATTTTGACTATACCGGCAAAAATACCTTGCACATCAGTTTTTGTAGAGAGAGGAAAAAACTATTAATAATTATTTAATAATTAATCCATATCCTTTCAACGCAGCATCCTTAAAATGCATCATTAAGAAATATCTCACAGCCAAATATAACACCAACACGGCTCAATATAATTGTATGGTGCCATATGAACACTCAAATATAAATTGGGCACGATCCACATGCAGAACTTAGATATGAAGGGTGGACAAATACCTCTAGAGCCTTCAATACATGCTCAGGTGCAATCGTCCGTTTGTCCTCTCTGTTACAGACTTCATTGGACTCTGACGAGACAAGGTTTATAAACTCTAGAATGACAAATAACCAACAAAACCTTATTTAGTACCAGGACTAAACTAAGAATATAAGCAATGAAACACAATTTTTGCATGCCCATAATATAGAGAGATACAAAAGAAAACAATGTAATTATGACACGTTCAGATATTAAAAATAAATAGATGCGAGTTAAAAAATGATTATAAACGAAGATATTATTAAACAGTAGATTCTGGTCATTTATAGACCATATGGTATTTATATACATACATATATATATATATATATATATATATATATATATATTGACCATATGGTATGTTAGGGTTGGGTCATTATTCCTAGTATTTGATCCTAAACTAGCCATAAGGAAGAGAAAAGAACCATGTGTCAATAACAAATTATATAGCTAAGGAGAAAATGTAAACAAATATCATGATGACCATTTTAATTATAATCTACGGAAAAAGCTTGGCTGTTAACAGACATAACAGGATGGAAATAGCATGTTCATCAATTTTTGTGCAACTGATATGCACGCTAGAATTTAGACTGTACATAAAACCTTGAACTAAAAGAAATAAGCCAATAAATCCAACACAATATACTGGCAATAAAATCGTCATAGGTAAAATTCTGACCTACACAACACTCAATCAATAGATCTTGAGCATCTCTTGCAACACGAACATCTGGGGGTAACATCTCTTTAATAATTTTTGTCATGGTTGCTGCCAAAGAATCAGGGCTTCAGTAAGCAATGAAAATAATGATGCATTAACAACAAAAAGAAAACAGAGTTTCAAGCGCCATCAAAATTAAAAGAATCAAATACCACTCTTGACTATTATTTAGCAATATTTTATCAATTAAACCTATTCAAAAGAACAGTGACAGTCAGTGTCTTCTAATGAACAATAATTAAAAAAGTGGCAAAAGTGTATGTTTTCCAATCATAATTCACGATTTTAAAATACTCCTTTCATGGAATGTTAAAAGTTTAACGTGGGTATAAAATAAAAAAGGGACTTCGTGCCATTTTTAGTAAGGCACTGATCTGAACCATATAGCTAGATATAGAAGTCTTAATTAACTTCATGAACTTTGTACTATTAGCACACACATAGACAAAGTCCCTCCTTTTTTTTTTGGGTAGACTAAAGGCCATACGGCCAAAAAACTAAACTACAAACCAGTTCTACGCAAGAAACTAACAGCTGAAAAAGCAGCAAACGAAAGTAAACTAATACCACTAGGGGAGGAATTAAATAAGCACATGTCTTCTTCCTCTTGGTTGTCTAGTGAGAAATGGTCATCTATGTCTTGCTATATATGATATGCTATGCCGAATTGCTAATGTCTAGTTATCAACCATAAACATAACTTCTGTATTGATTATAATTCACTTGGAGTGCATATCAAGTCATTTAGCTTGCTTCAAAATCATATTCAGCATTTTCAAATGAAAATTCAAGAGGGATTTCAGACATTTATTTTATTTATTTTTCATTCTTCTGGTCCTATTTAAGAAGCAATTTCCAGAGAGAAACAAAATTCACATATGCGGGCAACAAATTGATTCCAGAGAACTCGACATGAATATCCTACTGAATAACTATGCAATCAAATTCACAAACAGAGAAAAAATAAATAATAGTAATAATAATAAAACCTTTAGGAAGCGAAGCATCTTCCTTTGATTTGCCAACGATGTCCATGGGCTCCATGGTTCAACCTAAAATCGAATGAAAGGAACAATTAACGCACAAATATATGCATGAATAGGGAGAAGGAAATCGCAGATCTGAAAGGGAACGAAGAAAAAGGAAGAAAGAAGAGCGAACTCACCGATTTACCGGGAAGAGAGATGAAGGCGAATCTGTGAACACGGATCGGATGACGAGTCAACCGATTGAAGATCCGAGTTGCAGGAAGACGATGAGGAAGAGAAGGAGCGAAGACATGGCTGATATGATATATGAATTTATGAAGATGGTTTCACAGGATAAGAGAACCAGTTCTCGCTCGTATGCGATTAGGGCAACCCACACTGCCCAAAGCGCGTTGACGAGTTGGGCTTCCGCCACGCGCTCTCATGATGCGCGTCGTGGGCTGAATTCGTAACTGAATAGAATTAGAAACGTTTTTTTATTTTTATTTTTTGGGTTTTGTTACTAAAGAATAAAAATAACAAGTTTTTAAGGCATACGTTAAAGATGCTCCCCTTTTTTTTTGTATTTAATAGTTTAAAAAGTTGGAATGATAATTGTTTTTTAAAAATCTCATTTTACAAATTTATGGGATTGTATTTCTAATAACTATACGATTATGTTTTATATTTTTTATAATAAATTCTAATATTTGTATTGATAGGTGTTTATTTAACTGAAAAGTTTTCAAATATTGCATAATCTAATATAAGCACCATTATTTTCATAAAGCGCAGGGTCATAACCATAACAAAAATTATAAAAGAAATAAAAAAAAAATAGCTAAGAAAAAGTACTATATGTTTTTGGGGTTTGGTATTTGTCATTTTAAATGACATAAGTTATGTCATTTTAAGATAAAGATAGACACAAGAAATAAAAATCATGGAGGAGAAAGTAGTGGTTTTTTTTTTTAAATATTATTTTGTATCTATCTCTTTTAAAATGATATAACTTTATGTCATTTAAAATGACAAATACTTTCCCTACTTAGAGTCAAACTAAATACTGATCGACGGCGTTATAGGATGATGCGTATTGCTGACTGTCTTACAAGTCACGTAGCGGGTCTCTATTTTCTAGCTTGCTTGGGATGAACATTTTGTCATGTTGGTTATGAGAATAATTCCTTTTAAACAGTCCATTTGATCCAGAAGTGGCTCGAAGGATTCCAAAATCATGAGAATATACTATATGATATCTTGAGTGTTATTGACAAAGATTGTGAAGTGCAATTTTTTCATGTGTTGTGTCTTAGCGAATACTACAGCTCCAGAAGATGCTACGTTGAAGCTGTTACCTAAGAGCTTCATAAGATCGGTTAACCACATGCTGCTAGGCTCGTATGATTGGTGATTTGTCTTTTCGGCCTTGGTTTCTCTAAGAAGACTTTTGGTGCTCCTGCAGCATTAATCTTTTAGTGATCCAAACCAATGAAAACATGATAATTACTCAGGAAAGAGAAGAGAGAAAAGAATTAAAAAAAAATATACAAGTGTTATTCATTCAATGGAAGGACTATGTGAGGGCAGGAGTACTAAATTTTTTTCCGATTTCTCTTACCAAAAAAGCTATATAAGTACGAGATGCAAAAAAATTTACAAATTGTCTTGGCACCGTAGTTGTTGAGATTCTTAACTATTATAGACGAGACACGTGTCACTCTTCTAGTAACTAAAAAAGCCTTGCAAGGCCTGTTGCACCAAAGTAGCTATCTTAGGTACTTTGGTGTCCTTAGTCGCTGGAACATTTGCTATTATAGCCATTTTATTGACACATGGGAAATCAACACCAACCAGGCCTGTAAGGCTTTTTCAGCCACTAAAAAAGTGACATGTATTCCGTTCATAGTAGCTGGTGGTGTGGCAGTTTGGAAAAATATTTGCACTCCGTGACATTCAAGTATATTATTCTTTAAAAAGGATAGTACAGTCAATATCGCTAGATACGGTTTAAATCAGGAACAAAAAATAAATTTTTGTATTTGCTTATTTGAGATATTTATGAAGTTTATATAAGTTATACAAATTTTTGTACGATTGGTGATTTATCTTTTTGGCCTTGGTTTATCTTACCAAAAATGCTATATATATAAATTCGATTTAAAAGGGGAACAAAAGATAAATTTTTGTATTTGCTTATTTGGAATATTTATGAAGTTTATATCAAATTGAATTTCATTTTATAATATATAAGATGGGTTTATCGTTTCTCCTGTAATAGGAGATAAAGTTATCTCCTCTAACTCTAAAACTACGTAATTTTGAGGGATATAAAAATTAATGAGTAGTGTTTTGATAAAATTTATATAATAAAGAAATAAAAAGATTATGAAAACACCTCTCATTAATTTACTTAACTCTTAAAATGACTTAATTTTGAAGTTGTGAAGATAAAATTACCTACTATGACAGGAGAAATAATTTTCTCGTATAAGATATACTAAATTATATAATATTTATTTAAGTTCTTGTATTTTTAGTCCTACCAAGCTATGAAATAGGAATAATATTCTCGTTCTAGTTTATTATTTTATGAACTTGTATTTATACACAAAACCTGATATTGTAAATAGAGAAAATGTAAAGTGAAAGAGAGGTCAATTTGGCTTTATTTTTATTAGTCGAGGCTGTGACTTCCTAGTGCTAGGGTTTAAAAAAAAAAGCATAATCTGTTTTTTTTATATTACTTAATTCTTATTCATAAAAATTTGAAATAATCAATATCAGTGCTTGTTAAGAAAGAATATCAACAATCATTGGTTTAAATAATAAGGAGTTTGTTTTCTTAATTAGAGGTTTCGAGTTTGAGTCTCTATTTTGGATTAAATAATGCTCAAATTATATTAATTCAGGATGATCTGATACCAAAAAAATAAAAATAAAAATATGCATAGTATTAAGAAACAATATTTAGAGAAGTGAATCATTACATTTTATTTAATGGACAAAAATTTCTTTAATAAAAATAATAGATGTTTTTTAAGAATAAATAATCCAAGTAATAGTTATTCACGATTTTTTGTACTCCGCGTATTTTAACGTGAATAAATTTAGAAAAATTATTTTTTCATATTGTTGGAAATTGCTATCCCACGTTATAAAGCATTGAAATTTGTGCTATCCTTTTTTATTTTTTAGATTCTTAACAAGTGGTGGGTCCACCACTTGTTGTGTCTATAATATGAGAGATGCTATCTCATATGACATGAGAGAAGAAAAACTCATAAATTTATATTGTTAGGCACTCAATAAAGACAAATAATGACTCAATTAAGTAATAGTCATCCCTAAAATTCTTCTTAAATTCATGAATATATATATATATATATATATATATATATATATATATATATATATATATATGAGTTAGGATATTCTTACTCCCCATTTTTTCTACTACCACTTTAATTATCATTGGATTAGAGGAAAAGTTGAATAAAGAGAGAAAAAAAAAAAACTTTTGAATCCAATGGTGATTAAAGTGGTAGTGGAGTGGTAGTAGAAAAAATTGGTAGTATGAATATCCTACCCCTCTCTCTCTCTATATATATATATATATATATATATATATATATATATATATATGTTGTTCTGTCTACTTTTTTTTCTATCTATCTTTGTCTATTATTTTAAAATATTGTTAGATCAAAATCTCAACTAACTTTTATTTTTCTCTCTCCCCTTGAAATTCTGATATAACAGTGTTGGAGAGTGGTAGGTAAAGGTAGACGAAAAAAAAAGTTGATAGACTAACGTATCCATATATATATATATATGAAATGTCATTTATAATTGTTAACTAGTTATAGCTTGTTAGACATTTTTTTTTTTAAGTTAAAATCTACTTTTAAGTTACAGTTAAAAAAGAGAGCTTAATCCATTATCAGACCAGTCCAATATGGATTGGCCTAAATCATACACGGTTGAAAGATGAAGTCTTTGGGCTGTAAATGGTACTTCGTGGGCTTAAGACGCTTACTATGTATGTCAATGTTGAAGAATATTGCTGGCATGATGGGAACAAATGATGGGGTACCTGCAAAGACACTTCGACGCTCAAGTCAATGCTAGATTTATGTTATATTTAGTGGGAATCAGATGATCATACCTGGGCTCGTACCCTTTATATTTATAGCAAACTTTATGCCACCTTTGGTAAGCGACAAGCATTTTTATTGGTTTGTTATGGGCTGTAGATTTGTCTGTCTCAGCTGGTGCCTTTATGGCTATAAGTCTATATATTTGTTTGTCTTCTTAGAGTGGTGGCAAGCTGGAGCTGTCTTACTTGCGTTGGTCTTTATGCGCGGTGGGTCTCAGCCTGTTACAGAGTCTTTCCTTAGCTTTTAAGTTATATAAGGCGACTCAGGATAATCTACGCAATGCCTGCATCTCGCTTTATGAGGCCATTGTGCCTCTTGTAGGGATGTCAGAACGGGTCGACACGACACGAATTCGACACGACACGAATACATCAACAGTAACACGACACGAATTTTTATTCGTGTCAAAATCTTCAACACTGACACGACAGGAATTTTTTGCGGGTTGACACGACACGACACGAATAACACGCAAAATAGGGGTCAAAATGGTAATTGACAATTTTTTTTTAATGGATCGATATTAAAAAAATTAAAAAATAATAATAATAAAAAATTAAAAAAAATAATTTTAAAAAAATACAGGTGACACGAACACAAATACATCAACACGAACACGACACAGATTTTTTACGTGTCATTTTTCCCAACACGAACACGACACAAATTTTTTTGCGGGTCGACCCGTGTAACGCCTGACAACTTGCAAGAATCAACGACTGTCCTCACACACTAACACAAGATTTTTCAGCGTGCTTTGTCCTCACTCGCACACTTCCCGGGAAAACTTCCCAGGAGGTCTCCCATCCCAGAATTGCTCTAAGTCAAGCACGCTTAACTATGGAGTTCTTCTGTTCCGGGCTACCGAAAAGCAGATGCATTTTGTTAGTATAGGTAATACTAATTAATTCTTATAAGCTATCCCAAACTGTACTGTCCCATACCAACACAGTCTCTGGAATCCATCTCTTTCGGGTGTTGATTCGATTCATTCATTTACCCCCGTCCCTAGAAGCCTGCCGGAGCCGCTCCTTGTCCATGCCCTTTCGCACCGGCAATCACTCATCGCCTTCGTCAGCGCCCGAATGTTACAACCCGCGTGTCAAAACCTATATTGACACTCCTAGCCTCTTGGGCCCTGTCTAGGCCTTGAATCTCATGGGCCTATGTAATTTATCCAGATCAATCCACACAAAAAAACTGA